CAAAGTGAATTTACCCACTTAGCCGCAACGTAGCTCCTGAGCCCAAGTGCGTGTATGTGATGTGTTTCAGACAGGAAGTGGTCTGAAGTAGCGCCACGTGGCGTTCAGAAGTTGGAGCTGACGGGCAGGAAAAGCGTACCCGTGAGGGCGGGGTCCGAGGCTAACCTGGTGTCGGCAAGCAATAAGAATAAACGCTCCTCCTTCAGACAATCGCTCACCATGTGCGGCGAGCGGGCGCAGGTGATTGCCGGCCAATCAGTAAACATCTTTTGTTAAAGCCCGCCCACGTGTTCATTTGATGCTTCCCAAGCAGATGCTGATGATTTCTAATCAGCTGTCATGGAGCTAGCTAGCTAGCTAGCTAGCTCGCCCTGATAGCTTAAGCCTGTTTCAACTCTTTCTACAGGGAGTTTTCCTCATCTCTCGTTTTCCACTTGTCTCCTGTGATTTTTGTTGGTTTTTATGGGACTTTTTTTAAAAAGTTATCTGTCCTTGTCCTTGTTGCTTTCTGCTGGTTCCTAACTGTCTCTTGTTGATTGTTTTCTTCTGCTTATTGGTGTCCATTATGCTTTCTCGTTCCTCCTACTCTCTGTTGGTTTGTCTTGATCCTCGCTAGTTTCTGCTGGTCTCCAGCCTTGCTAGTTTCTAATGCTCTGATCTGGTCTTCCATGGTCCTCGCTGGTCTCCAGCGACTCTAGACTAGTCTGTGCCTGTCTTTTCTGGTCCTTGCTGGTTTCTGATGTTTTCCCTGGTTGATGCCGGTCTAGGCCAGTCTGCTGAACCCTCTCCTGCGTCGCACGGCATCTGTGAAGACCTCGCTGAGACGAGCCCCATCCACACTCTTCATCGAGCATGGGAAGGTTTTCCAGAGGAGGAAGGTCAGCATCCACATGCTTCTGGCTTCTTATTCGTTGAATTCATGTCACTCTTCTCGTCTTAAATATCATGTCATGATCGTTATTAAGTTACGGGTGCGTTGCCACGGTGACACGTGTTTGTGGTCTCCAACAGGAATGGGAGACCAAAGCTGCTGCCTGAAGGCAACGCAACCGTGTGACGAAGTGACCGCGCACCATGCGACCACGTGGCCAAGTGATGTGACAATGTGACTTCCCGATGGGTATTATCTTTTCGGTCACGACTGTGACACCGACGCCTTTAACTTATTTTTTGTTTTCTACACAAGGTAACAGACTTGAATGGTTTCATACGCATCACTTTTTTGTTTATGAAATATTTTTTTCTTTCTTTTTGAATCTAAATTTCATCTTAGAGTAACAGTTGGAGGAATATAAAGTTTATTGTTTTCATCGATCACATCACATTCAATCATCCACATGAGCAACAACAGCATTACATCTCTGAAATTGCCTTATAATAGATGAAATTGATAAGAATAAATGCCAATGAGCTAAGAGCACACTGTGATGTTTCATTCAGTGCTGATTAGTTTTTGATCCTCTCACATGTTAAGATCACGCATGCAGCAAGCATGTCACATAAACGTCATCAAAAACATCCAACAAATAGAAATAAAAACAATAAACATGTAGTTAGTGGCTTAGATTTACTCCAAAACTGTCAAAACAAAGCGCTAATCTCCTTTTTGTTTTACGTCATATCCAAAATGTCATCATCATTCAAAATGGCGATGACTCGCATGGCAGAGGATGCAAAATGGCTGACATCACGTGAAGGTGATGTCATCAGTCCGCACCTGCATAAGCCCAAAAAAGCTAACGCATGAATCATGTTGTTTTAAATGGACTTCTTCTCAGCTGGTTTCGGCTTCGGTACTGGGCAGCATGCTAAGCTTCGATGCTAACTGGACAGTAGCCGTTAACAGGTGTAATCAACGGTCAGTCTTTTAGAGCAGTGTTTCCCAACGAGGGAAATGTGAGCACATTGCAGGGGGTACATGGAAACGTTTAAAAATGTATTTCCAAGATGAGAACTAAATATTCGGAGTCATTTCAGAAGCCCGTCAATAAAAGTGAAGTGTTCCTGATAGTTACAGTTTAAACGTATTCAATCGCGCTACATTTTTGTGTTTTTTTTTTTTTTTGTGGTAAATGTTATCAGAGTTATGTATGACAAAGGCATGTTTATTTTGATTTCATTGTTCACGTGATTATATGTTCAACACATCAGATTTTTTTTGTTTGAATGAAAAGAAGATCATGCCTGAGAATTTGTGTTAAAAGTTAAGGAGACGAAATAAAATGATTTTCATCAAATAAACTGTGTTAAAGTTCTCCTATTGGAGAATCACCAACCCGGCCGGGCGAGTGGGTACGTATGGAATGACGAAAGGGTTCGGGGCTTCACCAAACAAAAATGGTTGGGAACCACTTTTCTGGAACATCAATCGACCGATCGATAGATTGAGGTTCAGCGATCACTGCGATCATGAACTTCCTGAAAGCTCCTCGCAATGTAGCTAGTAGCATTGTCACGCTAACACTAATATTAGCTACCCTTGTAGCTATCTTTAGAGTTGAAAGCCACAACGTTTGTGGGAACTGCTCAACATGTTTGAGCAATCGTATTAGCATTGTTGCGCCAATTC